AAAAAAAAAATAAAAAAAAAAAAAAAAAAAAAAAAAAAAAAAAAAAAAAAAAAAAAAAAAAAAAAAAAAAAAAAAAAAAAAAAAAAAAAAAAAAAAAAAAAAAAAAAAAAAAAAAAAAAAAAAAAAAAAAAAAAAAAAAAAAAAAAAAAAAAAAAAAAAAAAAAAAAAAAAAAAAAAAAAAAAAAAAAAAAAAAAAAAAAAAAAAAAAAAAAAAAAAAAAAAAAAAAAAAAAAAAAAAAAAAAAAAAAAAAAAAAAAAAAAAAAAAAAAAAAAAAAAAAAAAAAAAAAAAAAAAAAAAAAAAAAAAAAAAAAAAAAAAAAAAAAAAAAAACTCCAGAGCCGGAGTGTCGGGTTTGGGTGTCACTGGCTGGATGAGGAGCGGAGTGGTGGCCGTGCTTGGGCTCCTGGGTGTGCTTTCTGCTTCAGCTTCCTCTTTCAGCTGCACCTCAGTGTAGTAAAAATCCTCCTCCTCTCTCTTACGCTGGTCAGAATCTGCTCATCATCTCTGTTGATGGGGGGGGGGGGGGGGGGGGGGGGGGGGGTGGGGGGGGGGGGATAGATTTTTAGAATCTCAATTAGCAACTGAAATGTTAATTTTGGGGAAAAAAAAAAAACTACACATTTATTGGTATGAGGACAGCCATATTAGTCCAAGTTAACATGGACCTTTTACCAAATACAAGTCTATGTGGATAAATTCCCAACATGTCACAATACAGCAACTATCAATTTTCATAAAAAACCTTTTTTCCTTGAGCACCATTATTTTTTTTTTTTTTTATATCCAGGACTTATATAGTGTCAACACTTTGTGCAGCGCTTTACAATATAAAGTGACTGTGCCTAGGCTAAGATGACATCAGTCTGCTGCAGGCAGGAGGAAGCATTTCCATAGTCTCCTCTCCGCCGAATAATCAAAAATTGTAACTGTGTGGCAAGTCAAAATTGTAAATTGTAGCAAGGCGAGAGACTGCCACAGAGGCTGATCTGTGTCAGACATTTGTGAGCACAGCCAAGAACTACACCCACCATAGGATACCTGGATAAAAATGGCACCAAGCAAATGAAGACATTGTTGGGGTAGGTTGTGATCTCTGTAAGAGGAGTACATCTGAAGTGTTACACCAATTACTTAATATGCATGTAAGAAAAAAAAAAAAATAATAATGCATACATAAGTGGTACTCCAGTGCTACAAGGCCACAGGGCTAAGCAGCTAATATTTACACAGTCAACGGAGATCCTTACCCAAGGTGCTGGGTTTTCACGTGGCGCTTAATGCCAACGATGGAGCGCAGGAGCTTCCCGCAGTTTGGCCACAGACACTTGTACATGATCTTCACAGAGTTCTGCAACATAAGCACATACCTGATTAGCATTTATCCATGATATAAATAATGCATATGCCTGGTACACGTCTCAACAAATCAAAGAGTGCTCCAGGGAAAAGAAAAAAAAAAAAAAAAAAAAAGTCAGCAAGGCCTTAGGTGAAAACCACAGGTCAAAACGAGCCATAGCTGAAGTTTCTTGAAATCAGTATACTTCTATGGAGTAGGGCAATTCTTAATGTGTGCGAAGGATTGCTTTACTCAGCAATACGTTTGTCATTACTTAACCTCCCTAGCGGTCTGATTATGTCCAGATTTCTGTGCTCAAAGCGGTACATTTTTTGCATGGAAATATGTAGTTTTTTATTGTAGGCTGTAATTTTTAGGAATAACTCACTGAAATCTGTCCGAACAAGAGTCTAGTAAACATCCCAGGTAGGATAAAATTTGAAACACGAAATCATAAATTATAATTTAATAAATAATCATAAAAAATAATATAATAATAATACATTTAATTCAATAATATAATGAAACCAAAAACACTGAAATTTGAAATAGAGCGCCAAGTTTGCACATCACTGAGCAAAGTCACAAAATCGTTTTCAGTGTCTGATGATGAATTTTCCCCACAAATCATTATCACTCAATTCTGCAAGTGGTTCTGATTTACTATCGCTGTTCTCTAGCCGGTCTAAAACCGCTTTTGATCTAAAGGGATGCTTTTTGGACGCCATGGACGTTTCTCAGTTTCCAGGCAGAAAGAACAGTAAAAAATGCAGGCAGGGCACAGGACAAAGCACTCGGGACAAAATGTATGTGAAATGGTTTGATAAAGTAATGTTTTACTATGTGATTTTAGTGTATTTAGCGAATGTCACTTTTTACATTTTTAAATTTCCCGCCATTCCATCCCGACGTCGCAGGGAAGGAACCCGGAAGACAGATGCCGGCATCGGCCGGAGGACATTGCCGGGGACACTGCAGGGGAGACATCGCGGGAGTGCAGGACAAGGTAAGTGCAGAAGAGATCCCGGAGCAACGCTGCAGGGTATTCCCGAGTATAGCTCGGGGTTAGCACTTGCGGTGCTGAAACTTTACCCCGAGCTACACTCGGGAATACCGCCAGGGAGGTTAAAAGTAATATTAAACCTTTGCAGGGTTTTTGTTTTTTATTTATTTATTTTTAATTAAAATAAACTTGCCTACTTTATATGTTGTGTAATGGTTTTGCACAGAGCATCCCTGATCCTCCTCTTCTGGGGTCCCCCGCCGCCACTCCAGGCCCCTTTTTGCAAAGGGGCACCTGTGTGTGGGCTTGCTCCCGAGCTACCCTTTCTGCATCCATTGACAGAATGCGTAGCTCACCCCCCCCCCCCCCCCCCCGCCCCCCCCCCGCAATACAGCATTTGATTGACACCGTTGCTTTTTTTTCCCTCTCGCCATCTAGCAAACCATGCCATACCTTTCTCTTGCGTGGAGCAGGCTCATCCAGAAGGAACGGATCAGGGTCGGTCTCAAAACCTTCATCCACATGGGAAGCGTTGAACGCCTCGTTTGTATACTTGGGGCTGGCTTCGGTGTGAGGAGGGGAAGGCGTAGAGGCACCACACTCCACACTCCAGTGCCCGCTGGTTGTACTGCTGCCACTGTCCGACACATCTCCGCTTTCCTTCCAGAGGTCACAGGTTACTTGAGGGGCTTAGAAAGAGGAACAATGTGTGAATATTAAACACAGCATAGTGCCATCATGAGAGATTAGTCGCTACTATATTCTAACAATTCAGTGTTCCCTACAGGGGCGGACTGACAACTCATGGGGCCCCCGGGCAATAGGGGATCATGGGGCCCCTGTGTCCTTGCCCAAACTCAAAAAAAGCCTATGAAAAAGTACTAGGGGCATCTCATGGGGCCCCCTACTGACCCCGGGCCCTCGGGCAGTGCCAGACGTTTCCAAATAGTCAGTCCGCCCCTGGTTCCCTATGTGTAGGATCACTGGCATGAATATGTGTGCGCCCTAGATAGGTCTTTGTGGCATCCATTTCCACATGTCTGTGGAACACCTTGGCCTCCAAAGCTTCCGGGATGTCCTCAGCCTTCTGGTAGAGATGGGAGCTTTAGATAATGGCAATTCTTACATGATTTAGAGCAACCAGCTCAGCAAGAAGGCTCTTCGACATCCCCAATGTCTCATTGAAGCATCAGAGACCAAGGAAAGTACTTTTTTTTTTTTTCTTTGGAGGGAACTGTTGTATACCAAATGGCCATTTGAGTTGTAAAAGCCAAGATAGTATTTCAACAGTTTCCAGTGTGGTCAAGCCTGGTAGGATCGGCAAAAAAATGGGAAAATAGCATGAACGAGCCCTACAGAATCAAGATATTGACCCCAATCATCTCTATGGCCATTTAACTGGAATGAGGTCCCCGTGGGTGAACTCTAGACCATGCAGTAGGGCAATGGTCTACAAACTGCAGCCCGAGGCCATATGTGGCCCTTTGCTTGCCTTTATCCAGCCCTTGGGGCACTTTTCCTTCCACTGATACAAGACACTATTAATTTCCTCCCATCAACAATGAGGCACTATTTCTCCCACTGCCATCAATGATGGGGCATTATTCTTCCCACTGAGACGAACGATGGGGCACTACTTACCCCCACTGACACCAATGATGGGGCACTGTTCCTCCCACTGACACCATTGATAGGGCACTATTCCTCTCACTGACACCATTGATGGGGCACTATTCCTCCTGCTGACACCAATGATGGGGCACTATTCCTCCCACTGATACCAATGTTGGGGCACTATTCCTCCCGCTGACACAAATAGGACACTATTCCACCCACTGACACCACTGATGGGGCACCATCTCCCCCCAATGACACCAATAGGACACCATCCCCCAAACTGCTACCAATGATGGGGCACTATTCCTCCCACTTACATGACTGGGCACTATTCCTCTCCCACTGAAACCAACAATTGGGCACTATTCCTCCCACTTACATGAATGAAGAGGCGCTATTTCCCCCCTAATATCAACAATGCGTTTTTTACTCCCATTGTTGCCGGGACAATTTCTACTCCCAGTGGCCACAGTCCGGCCCCCAGAAAGTCTGATGGACAGTAAACTGGCCCTATATTTAGAAAGTTTGGAGACCCCTGCAGTAGGATCTCAACATTTGCACAGGCACTCTTTACTTTGAGCACAATGAACGTGCAGAAGTTAGAATACTGGACTGCATTTTAAACATGGTTCCTGAGTGTTCAAGCGTGGTAGGATCCACAAAGAACAGAAGCCCTACAGAACAAGAAAATAGATCTGCCATCTGGATGGGTACTTACTTGGAATGAGGTCACAGCAGGGGGGGCTCTGGACGATTGGGCTGCAGGACAAGCTGGTCAGGACCATGGCTGCCATCATTTCATCCATCTCTACAGCATCTGATCTCCTATTAGAACAAAAGAATAACTTCACATATTTGGTAGAAGAAACTTCTTTCAGCAAAATTCACCAATATCGGACCTCAAAAGTGCCAACTGTAAATGAGTGTGGTCAGGCAACAGGAACTCTACAGGCAGCACCAAATGGGAGGTCAATCAGCCACAGCTCAAGAAAACCCAAAACAACCTTTGGGTAGAACCCTGGTTGAGAATGGCTGATGGAGATTGCCATGTATGAAATACAGCATAGATATTAGGCTCCCTAAAAAGGTATGGAACCTTTACTGTAGATCTACCTAACGCAGGGTATCTCAACTAGGGTCCTGCATAAATTCTAGGGTTCTACTAGGCAAGGATGCAACGCTTGAAGATCACAACTAGGCAGGGATGCAAAGCTAATACGATCACTAAACACCAATGCAAAGTTCATGGAACCACCAAGCACACATTCAAAGATAATGGGACTACTAAACATTGATGCAAAGCTAATAAGATCACTAAGTACCAATCTAAAATTAGTTTGAAGATCACAAAGCACCAGTGCAAAGCTAGTGGCACCACTAAGCGTTGATGGGACCATGGTCACCAAGCGTTGATGGGACCATGGTCACCAAGCGTTGATGGGACCATGGTCACCAAGCGTTGATGGGACCATGGTCACCAAGCGTTGATGGGACCATGGTCACCAAGCGTTGATGGGACCATGGTCACCAAGCGTTGATGGGACCATGGTCACCAAGCGTTGATGGGACCATGGTCACCAAGCGTTGATGGGACCATGGTCACCAAGCGTTGATGGGACCATGGTCACCAAGCGTTGATGGGACCATGGTCACCAAGCAATGATGGGACCATGGTCACCAAGCACTGATGGGACCATGGACACCAAGCACTGATGGGACCATGGACACCAAGCACTGATGGGACCATGGACACCAAGCACTGATGGGACCATGGACACCAAGCACTGATGGGACCATGGACACCAAGCACTGATGGGACCATGGACACCAAGCACTGATGGGACCATGGACACCAAGCACTGATGGGACCATGGACACCAAGCACTGATGGGACCATGGACACCAAGCACTGATGGGACCATGGACACCAAGCACTGATGGGACCATGGACACCAAGCACTGATGGGACCATGGACACCAAGCACTGATGGGACCATGGACACCAAGCACTGATGGGACCATGGACACCAAGCACTGATGGGACCATGGACACCAAGCACTGATGGGACCATGGACACCAAGCACTGATGGGACCATGGACACCAAGCACTGATGTTCAAAAGGTAGCATGGCCATTAAGAACAAATGCAAAATTAGTGGTACCACCAAAGTTTTGTATTTTTGCGATTCGGTCCTTCAGATATTTACCACACCGTTATCATTAAATCAGAAAAATGATTGCAGGGGTTCCCAGAGATCTCAATTTTTTCCAGGGTGAAAAAAAAAAAAAAAAAAAAAAAAAAAAAAAAGTTCTATAAAGCTGATCTAATGGCTACTGTAATACTTCAAAATGAGTGTCAAGTTGGATGAGTGCTTTATGAAATGTTTCGGCCGTGACCTCACTCTAAAAGGTTATCAAAGATGCTGATCAGCAAACCTTTCTTATGCTACAAAATGCTCAAAAGTAGCTAATTAAAGTGTATCTAAACCCAAAATGTCCATTAACCAAAGCCCAAAATACTCTCATGAGCTCCAAACAACTGACTTCTATGGAGTTCCCTTAGCAGCATCTTCTCCCCAGCTTCCACCAAGTGTTGGGTCTTGGGCTGCCATGATTAGCTGGGATTAGATAAGAAAATGAATGTACATGCTTAGGAGTTCAATCATTCATTCCAGCACACAGGCACTGTGCGGCTCTCCAAGGGTGGCTCCTCCATAGACTGGAGCCACTCCAAGACAGTAAGTGCATTACTGGCAGGTTCACAAGGTGAATATAAAAAGGAAAGAAATGTCTAAAACTAATGCAGCCACTATATTGAAGGATTGATGGGCTGCGATTTATAACATTTTTGTAACAGAATCTAATATATAGGCGTACCCCTGAGAACGTGCATGCGCACGAAACACGTTGGGTGGAGCCACTGTTTGCTGACGTCACGCCGCCGATGGTCGAAGCGGTGGCCATCTTGGTACACTTTTTATGCTTTTTGACGTGGACACTTTTTAATGTTCTAATAAATACTACACTATATGCAACTTTATTGGCTCCTGTGGTGAGCCATTTCTTCTAGGACTAGGGCTGACTTCCCAACCGAGTGCCCAGGACGAATTTGTTCCAGTTTAACCCTTTGGCCACCTTCCATTCCCAGATGTTTAACGCTTAATTGCCTGTTACCAGATTTCATCTGTTGAGTGTACATCCGAGAGAGGTGGATTCTTTTGCGTGATCATCAACACATTTGCACTCTGCACCTTAGCTATACTGCGCCTTATGGTCTCACGGACAATTGCTTCCATTTATGGATATTTGACTATATAAATAGCACATTTGACCATGGACATTGTTGTAGAGTTTTATCCCATATGTTATATGTTTATTGTAACATCATTTACTACTGCGCTTTACTTCACGGATCACCATGGACATTACTGTATTTAGATTCTGCCTGTGATACAATTTATTGTTTGGCATTTGCTTTTTGAGCTGTTTAGCTGATATTTTCATGCTCTTACTTGATGCACTTTACGGTTTCATTCAGCTCATTACATTCATGATGCACTTTACCATATTGTTTGACTTTTAGATTTTGCATTTACTAATGTTTTTTGCACTTTACCATTCAGCAATAATAATAATATATATATATATATATATATATATATATATATATATATATATTTAGCGCTGCACTTATTTACAAATGTAACATTTTTCGGTTTGTCTTTAGAATGTAAACAATCTTATTTTAGACTTTAAAGTGGTAATATCCTCCCCTACTCAACACAAAAAAAACATTTGGCCCAAGATTGGTATGAACAGTCCCAACTCTTTGGGCGATGAAGAAGGCAGTGAGATGGGCTTACCTCTTGGGGACATCAATGCTGCGGGACACGGATCTCTGAGCCACGTTGATGGGCCCCGCAGGACTGGTGGAAAGAGTCTGCTCCATCAGTATGCCCATGGCTTTGGGGGTCTCCACGAGACGGACGTCCTCAGTCTTTCTGCACAGGTGGAGCCCCAGTTCCAGAACAAAAATCTTCACTTCATCATCAACGTGATTGTGCTGCTCCACCAAGCCAACCCATTCCTTGCCATTGTGGGTGATGTACACCTGTCAGAATAAGAAAAAAAAAAAAAAAAAAAAAAAACACACCCGCACTCTCGTTTTTTTTCTTTTTATCCAAAAAGAAAATTGCAACTCGAACCTATTCACAAGACCTGACTGAATCACATTGTTCTCAGATTTCCACTCCATCGTATTTTACCCCAATGAATGTGGGAAAGGTCAGGGAGGACCAGAACCAAAAGAGTCTGCTGTTGCGGCCGGTCAGCAAGCTGCAAGACCACCTACACCTGTGCGGCTTTTGTTCACCCTTCAAAAAGACATGAATGAAATATGACCAATGGCACATGAATTGGTTTTTATGCTTTACCAAAAGCGGAGGCAGATATCAAAAGTGCTCAAGTCATTCAGATGACCAAAGGGTGAACAACGCATAACCGCAAATGTTTCTCTTTAACAAAGACACAAGGTTTAATAAAACTGAAATTCTATTAGCTGTTCTGGATGGAATGATAAAAAGGACAAGCAAATTTATACCCAACTGGGAAGGCACATAATGGAAAGGACCAAAAAAATTGGTAAGTACTCCAACTAGGAAGCTGCACAATAGGTAGGGAAGTAGAAGATGGTAAGTGCTCAAATGCACGCACTTAATTACCTGGGTAGGAACACAATTTGGGGGTGGAGCATGTTTGCTGATGAGTCCTGGTTTGTGTACCTGTGCCATATTTTATCATGGCACATATACATAGACATCATCTATGTACCTGTGCCATATTTTGTCATAGCACAGATACATAGACGTCGTCTATGTACCTGTGCCATATTTTATCATAGCAGAGATACATAGACGACGTCTATCATCTAGACAGGTACCCCTGAGGAACGTGATGAATTTATGGAAAATGGAGTACTAACTCTTAATTGCAAAATTTACAATGAATTCTAATTTAGAAAGAATTTCATTTTTGGATGTAGAAATCTTCAACTAAGAAGATTGTCTAGTGGTTACTATGCTATATAGGAAACCCACTTCATGCATTACTATGCTACATCGTAGGGCCTTCATGCATAGCATACCCTGCAGCCAATACTAAAGTACGACGTAACTGCTCTAGAGATGAAGGACCATGAACAATACTAAGCACTTCACCAAATGTATAACTAACTTGTAAGGATCCCAAAGAAGGATGATTAACAATTAATTGGTATGCACTTCGAGAAGGATAGCCAAAGCTCTTTCGGCTGTACTTCTCCTGTGGATCACAGGAGTGCAGTTCGTTCTGCACTCCTGTGACCCGTTTTCAGAGGACAGCAAGCTTGGAGTCCACTGTTGGCTGATGTCACTCAGCCGGTCCAGGTTGGGGAAGGATCCAGACTTTAAACTCAGGATCTACCACAGAATCTGAAATGGCACCAGCAGCTCCCACTTCCTCCAAAGTAGAGGTAGGTGTTCAAATATATACCCAACCTGGAACGTGTAACAAAGGATGAGCCATTAACTATAATAAAAAGCGTAAAATAAGCCAACACCTATTTTAACCATTGGAAGTCCAGGCCGTTTCTTTACATCCTATGGATGGAAGGTAGTTAAAAACCTTTGATGGTAATATTAATTTCTACAGCTCTACACAGTATACACAGGACCTAAAAAAAGAGGAAAGGCAGATCTGAGCTCTAAATAAAGGATAGTTGGGGGCCTATGGATGGACAAGAATCGGTGCATGCTCCAGCTAGCAGCAGTCCTACCTTTTGTCCTGGGTACAGCTTGAAGCGGTTGGTGGACAAGTTGGTGGGACACATGGCCTCCTCCAAGCACTCTTTGTAGCATCCACCCTCATAAGCTCCCAGTTGAGCTGAAACGGCAAGATCTCCTGCCGACTCCACAGTCATGCCATCTGCAGATAACATCGGGGTAGTACACACCCGGGCACCCAGTAGAGACCTCTTCCCAAGCCGCTTAGATAGTATGCTCGCCATGTTGGCTACGGAAAGAAAAAGGGGGGAAAAAAATAAATAATCAAAACTTCTGGAGAACATCAACCATGAAAACGCACATTAGAATGTCCTCAAGATTCACACTAACCTCCTGCTGAAACTGTTCCTACCCTTCCTCTTTAACCCCTTGGCGCCGGCGCCTCCCGGCCTTTTAAGGGTTCCAGAAGCCGGGAGGCAAGCAGGGTTTTAGGGTCATGTGACCTCCGTGATTCGCTGTCACAGCGGTCACATGATTGGGAAAGGTCCCGAACGCAAGAGGAGATTGGGACCTTTCCGTGAGTACTAAATGTGTGCGATGGGAGCGTGCAGGGTGCGCGTTCTCAGCACATATGATTTTTTTGTTAATACAATGCAAATATGCGGCCACTCGGCGTCTAGGCCCAGACGCCGGGAGGCCACACATTTGCGTTCGGCCGGCGCCAAGAGGTTAAGAGGCCTCAGGTTGAGATTGCATGCTTACCTCCTTTACACACAAGATAATGCCCTGCATTGTATGAGAGGATGCAAAAGGGAGTCCAAATTTTTGAAAAAGCAAGAGATCCTGCCAGGCTTTTTTTTTCCCTTTGCGGTCTAGGTACTGATGGGGAGATTTCTCATCACTTCCTGCCCTGGAGACAACAGGACGTGAGGAAATCTCTCCAGAGTGAGGGGAATTCCCACCTTAGTTGTCCTTCAAACAAATGTCCCCTTTGCAAGCAAATATTTGCACACCAAAACGAAAAACGCACCATATTTTGTCTAATATGATTATTTCCTATGATCGGAAGCGCTATCTAGTGGCCCTAATGCAGTATTTTTCCTGAAATACCTCAAAATCAGGAACAAACACCACATTTTGGCTACTAGCTGCTGCTGGTAATCATAGAAAATATCCGTATTCGACAAAAAAAAAAAAATATTAGGATTTTTCATTGTGGCTGTGCATATGTTTGTCACATTCATACAGTTTTTTTTTTTAATAAATAGACCCCTAATTATGCTTTGGTGACACGCACGTTGCCCAGTATGGCTAATAAAGAACAATACATTCAGAAAAACTACATAAATGTTCGATACATCAGAGTCTAATACTATAAATAAATACAAATACATATCAAAAAAAGAAACCATATTGAAATCTTTTTGTTTTTTGGGGGGTTTTTTGGACAATGCCAACATACATCTCAAGAAGCACATGATATAAACCAACATGGGCACATGATAAAAAAAAAAATAATATGATGCCAAACTTCCCCATTCATCAGTCATATGATAAGCTGAATGGACCAACCAATTAGGAACTCAATGTGAGCCCTAGGCTGGAGTGACCTGGGTCATTATTGCACAATACATACAAACCACATCATATAACTGTACAAGACTATAGGAAGTGCTGAGGATATTGCAAAAAAAAAAAAATACTACAACAAAGAAAAACACCCTCGGTCTGCAGGTACGTGCAATACGTTTTATATCACACCACATGCAAGAGGAAGACAGAAAGTGAGGTAAAGCCTCTCCAATGGAGAGATAGACAACAGTGTATTGGAACCCGTCTCCCACTGACCACCAGCAGAATGGAACCCTTCCCCCCCCCACTGACCACCAGCGGAATGGAACCCTTCCCCCCCCACTGTCCACCAGTGGAATGGAACCCTTCCCCCCCCCCACTGACCACCAGCGGAATGGAACCCTTCCCCCCCCCACTGACCACCAGCGGAATGGAACCCTTCCCCCCCCCACTGACCACCAGCGGAATGGAACCCTTCCCCCCACTGACCACCAACGGAATGGAACCCTTCCCCCCACTGACCACAAGCAGAATGAAACCTTTCCCCCCAACTGAACACAAGCAGAATGAAACCTTTCCCCCCAACTGAACACAAGCAGAATGGAACCCTTCCCCCCACTGACCACCAGTGGAATGGAACCTTTCCCCCCCACTGACCACAAGCAGAATGGAACCCTTTCCCCCCCCACTGACCACAAGCAGAATGAAACCTTTCCCCCCCCCACTGACCACAAGCAGAATGAAACCTTTCCCCCCCACTGACCACAAGCAGAATGAAACCTTTCCCCCCCACTGACCACCAGCGGAATGGAACCCTTCCCCATTGACCACCAGTGGAATAGAACCCCTGCCCCAATTGACCAGCAGCAGAACGGAACCCTTCTCCCCACTGACCACCAGCGGAATGGAACCCTTCTCCCCACTGACCACCAGCGGAACGGAACCCTTCTCCCCACTGACCACCAGCGGAACGAAACCCTTCCCCCATTGACCACCAGCGGAACGAAACTCTTCTCTCCACTGACCACCAGCAGAACGGAACCCTTCCCCCACTGACCACCAGCGCAACGGAACCCTTCCCCCACTGACCACCAGCGCAATGGAACCCTTCCCCCACTGACCACCAGCGCAATGGAACCCTTCCCCCACTGACCACCAGCGCAATGGAACCCTTCTTCCCCCATTGACCACCAGCGCAATGGAACCCTTCTTCCCCCATTGACCACCAGCGCAATGGAACCCTTCTTCCCCCAATGACCACCAGTGGAATGGAACCCTTCTTCCCCCATTGACCACCAGCGGAATGGAACCCTTCTTCCCCCATTGACCAGCAGCGGAATGGAACCCTTCTTCCCCCATTGACCAGCAGCGCAACGGAACCCTTCCCCCATTGACCATTATAATAGAACCGTTCTGTGGGGCTCTTCTGTAAAGACCGACAATCTAAGGGGATCCTTCTCCACTGACCACCAATGCAAGAGCATTTCAATGTCCACTATCAGGAGGGGGCCTTTTTCTAATAACTACCAATACAAATCAGACATTTCCCCACTGAGCATCCCCATGAAGAACCACTGTGTGTATCTAGTCATATGAACCAGCCATGTATGGATTGAGAACATCAAGTCCATCGTGTACTACACATTTTTTTCCATTCTTTACATCAATGTACAGAGACCTATAGATTGGCCATTATTAGCAGGGGTTCCCCAAGACCTATAAAGGTATTTTTAAAGGTTCCTCTGTGTTAAAAAGATACAGAAAACCTGTTGTAGACACGAGCTCCATGAAGCAAACATTTGTGCTGCACTAACTTGTAGGAATGTCTAGTCCCGGCTCACATCTTGCATCCATATGGAATATTCCAATATTTATTTATAGGAGGAAGAAAAAAAAAATCATGTCTAACTAAACCGGGCACCCACAGCTGTAAATCTCCCCGGGACCCCTCAAAGAGGATGTTCAGGAATTTTGCAAGTACAGTATATTACTTGCACATGCTGCTTCAACCTAACAAAGTGGACCTGTCATTACAATTCACACTTTACCCCCGAGATTGTCCATTTACTAGACTGGTTCCAATGGGGCCTCTGAAATCCCCAGAGGGCCACATAGAATATTCACTATATGTAGTACAGAAGACTGTCAGAGACTACTAATCTACTGCCAGAGATGGATGGAGACTGAAGACATGCTGCGTTCACATCAGGTCTTTATTCATGCAACCAAAGTTACCTATTTAATGACACTTTTTTTTGGAAGTGTTCACATTAAAAAAAGGATTTCCAAGAGGCCGGGGCAAGGATGACCTGGCTGGTTTTGTACAATCACAGCCCAGAGCCTTGTGTTAACAATCAACACAAAGGAACGATCTCTGTTTCTTCTCCCTGCAAAGCAGGGAGAACAAACAGATTTTCAGGGAAAATCAGCACACATTATACTCATTAACATTTGTTAAGCACACATTCAGCCCTTTGATTACCTGAGAGGTTAACCCCTTCCCAGCCAGTGTCATTAGTGCAGCGACATACCGTGTATAGTGTTATCACTGTATTAGTGCTACTGGTGATGTCAGTGTCAGTTCCCACCCAGTGTCAGTTAGCGTCAGATTGCCCAGCGCACACAGCCCCTTGATTACAAGAGAGGTTAACCCCTTCCCAGCCAGTGTCATTAGTGCAGCGACATACAGTGTATAGTGTTATCACTGTATTAGTGCCACTGGTGAAGTCAAGTGTCACTTCGCATCATATCTCCCATCGCACGATCATAATCCCACTAGGTCAGGGAACTCCGCCACTAGTAGAATAAAAAATTCCAGTATGTGCGTGTGTATATTATAAATATACACATATATTCACACACACACACAAAATAACTTGCGCTAATAACAAACCAATCAATATACACTTATTGAGACTTTTTTGTTTAACCAAAGATGTAGTAGAAAATATTTTGACCTAAAAACTTAAAGAATTATATATATATATATATATATATATATATATATATATATATATACAGTATATACACACACATACACACACACACACAGTGGGGATCGAAGGTTTGGGCACCCCAGCTAAAAATTTATATTAATGTGCATAAAGCAGCCAAGGAAAGATGGAAAAATCTCCAAAAAGGCATCAAATTACAGATTAGACATTCTTATAATATGTCAACAAAAGTTAGATTTTATTTCCATCATTTACACTTTCAAAATAACAGAAAACAAAAAAATGGCGTCTGCAAAAGTTTGGGCACCCTGCAGAATTTATAGCATGCACTGCCCCCTTTGCCAAGCTGAGACCTGCCAGTGTCATGGATTGCTCTCAATCATCGTCTGGGAAGACCAGGTGATGTCAATCTCAAAGGTTTTAAATGCCCAGACTCATCTGACCTTGCCCCAACAATCAGCACCATGGGTTCTTCTAAGCAGTTGTCTAGAAAACTGAAACTGAAAATAGTTGACGCTCACAAAGCTGGAGAAGGCTATAAGAAGATAGCAAAGCGTTTTCAGATGTCAATATCCTCTGTTCGGAATGTAATTAAGAAATGGCAGTCATCAGGAACAGTGGAAGTTAAAGCAAGATCTGGAAGACCAAGAAAAATATCAGACAGAACAGCTCGCAGGATTGTGAGAAAAACAATTCAAAACCCACGTTTGACTGCACGATCCCTCCAGAAAGATCTGGCAGACACTGGAGTTGTGGTA